GTTTCGCAATACTTACATGTACGTCCATTCAAATGCCTACGCTGCGCGTATGCCCACACCTGGTAGCGAAGATTGGCAAAGTCATTGAAACGTCGCTCTAATTGATAATCGGGATCACTTGTTGTGGCTTTTGCCGTTTTATTGGTCGGAATGCGAGATGTATTATGCTCAAGATGCACATCCAGCACGTAGTACACGACACCGCCTCGCACAATAGTGTGACTTATCTTGATGAAATCGATTTTTGATAAAAACGAAAGTGGCACGGATGCTCTAGAGATTCGCGTCGGTATCATGGTTACAAGTGATAACGACTGGAGTTGCAGCATTGGTGTCAGGGTTTGTATAGTTCCAATTATCGAGGTTCCACGGTCAAGCGCCCAGGAGAGTAATTGTCGGAAATTGCTTTTTAACTGATTGAGCTTTATAGCCAGAAATCGACAAGTGAGCCATCTGGGCGTACAAACAGTTTTTTTGGTTGCGCGTGTTGGTCAAAGAGATCTAGTCTTTTCTGAAATGCATACTGTGTGGTAATGATGTCGTTTCCACTATGTCAGTTATATATATATGGGTACTTACACTTTTGTATAGTTCAGAATAGAGTAGCATATTTACAGTAAAATAAACATTTGTGGGTTACGCACAAACTGACGCAACATAACTACATTGCGCCACAAATTTTTCTCAATGGCTTGTTCAATTCATGTTTTAAATATGCGGCTACAACCATGTGATAGGAAAAGCAGCCATTTCGTTTTGAAGTATCAATACTAATAAAAGGGATTGCAAAAGTTCTACGAGCGGCGTGATTGAATACACTTATTTAAATGCTCAAGCATAATTTTGAATAACTACCAGACTTTACATCTTATAACTCGCCAATGTCTCTGGAGAAAAACAGACATTATAACACGCGCGGTTTACCTTGTTAATCGGTGTAAGTGATGACGATTGGATATGTTGGTCCAAAGTTCCTGCTGATATTTCTTGGATGCTCGTAATCTATTGGGCCCGTATCTACGCAGAAAGCTCACATGTACTTGAGCAGGTAGCAAACGTATAAGTTGTTGTAAGGGACGTAAATATCGTTCCGACTGAGCGGAATGGATAAAACATCAAGAAGCATCTTACTTGAAGAAGGTATATATCTTGATAGCTTTCCTTAAAGTTAAATTACCTGATTCGATGATCTCTATGCCAGATGTTTTCGCCCATCATTAGAAATATAGTATTATCCCAAACAGAATTGGTACAAATGTCCGTCGTCAGAGATTTCGCATAAAGTCTAGTGTTCCACAACATAAATTGTGCACTATTAGTTGATATAACAGTATTCATCAAAAAATTTTGCATGGCATTTCAGTTGTATCCGAAAAAAGTAACAGGTTTAATCATTCGTGAGGATCTGCACCACAAATGTAGGAAACATATGCCTTGAACTACCTGAGCGCCTAATTACCTTTTTGGTTTCAAATTTGGAATCTCGATTTGGTTATCAGGTACAAGGCATTACGATCTAAATGCAGATTACAATAGCGAGAGCATTGTAGCAGTCCACCAAAAGATAGCTCCAGGTCGTCCCAGTAAAGCAAAAGTTACTTTGGTTGAGCCTGAGATCAGAGACAAAATTTATTGATCTGGTCAGCTGTCCATTTTATAGCAATCACAATACTTCAATCTGATGTTGTAGATGAAATTGAGCTTGGACTCTTACTTGGTTCATCATTCTATAAGAAATGAGCCACCAATTATTTGTACTTGACTTACAGAGGGATCGTCCGTAAGATGCAATGCTTAAATAGCTAAGGACCTACAAGCGCTTTCTTTCATTGGCGGAACTGTGCTCCAGATCTAATGAATACAATCGAGAGAATTGTGCAGGGTTTATGGGACATTATGGGTAAATTACTAGCAGACAGTGTTCGAGGGAATACTCGGGTGGATCAGATGATAACTGATATCTACACAATAGAGAACTTGTTTGAATGGCGCATCGGCACCTGCCAATTTTGGCGGCTGCCGTGCAGTTGAACACGTTTCTCATATTTTTTTGACAACGATCTTGATTCCTTGTAACCCTAATTGATCAAAAAAGGATGCAATGCAATAGGGCGAGACAACAAAACGACATCGTCGCCTTTGCATTTAAATGAAATTCAAGCAACGTTAATATTCTTACATTTATGCTCTTTTCATTTATTTTAGATAGTAAGCTACCCTATACTTTCATTGTCCTATCAAATTTTGCGGCTTGTATTGGAGAGCATTTTCATAAAATGTGTCGTTTCTGTGTTTGAAAGAGGAACTAAGCGACTGCGTTGTCGCTACGGAAATTTGCTTGGGCATCTGAGCACGTCATAAAAATTGCTACGAATGGATAGAGTCATGCCAACTTAAGAGACAGAAACCTTTAGCTCATTTTTTCTCTATCTAGCCCATTTGATGTGCTCTGCACTTTGTTTAAAGTGGGGAAACGGAATTCTATAATTCCAATGAGTTTCACAAATGACAGGTTTCTTCCACCGAGCGACTTCCTTTTACAAAGCAGAGCACCAAAAAGCTCTATTTGCTGAAATAGCTTCAGATCAGGTTATTGCATTTAGCTCATCGAATCTATCAGTAGAAAAGCTCGATCAAGTTGTTAGGTCACCCGATTTTAGGATAAAGCCTTCTTTCTGTAACAGTAGAAGAAGCAAAAAGAAATGTTGTGACGACAGCACTGCATCACCTATTCAAAAGGTATGGTACATTTTGAAGATTTGTTTAAATGTTACACTTACTGCCCATCATGCGCAAGACCTAATTCCGATCTATTTCATGTAGGTCTGTCTATCCACAGACTCGTAAAGCTTTTACGAAAGCAGTGTCCGCTTCAAACGACGAAGCAGATCCGGCATCGAGAATCTAAGCCAAATTTAAATATGTTCAGACTTTATATTGGTCAGTCACGTACGACAAGCGTGTCGCCTTTCCTCATAACTGCCAGTCGTCACCATGTGCTTCTTCATTTTTTCAAATTCACGACATCAGCAAGAATATAGGCCTTTGAACTATTACAGAACGAGAAAAGTCCAATTGATAATACCTCCTGACCTTATTATCTCAGTTTAACGGATATGAATGCCCGTTTCAAGTCTTCGATTATTATGATGCCGCAATGTCGGCGTCGGAGCTGCATGTTCCAAGCCCAAGCTGCCTAATCCTTCAAAGTCTGCACCACACAGCTCCGTAAGTCGCGACATTGGAAACGCATCTAATGCTTCGACATCCATCTCTTCGTATACATTTGACAAAGTCGAGGCCTTTAGATCTTTGACTAGCGCAAAATTCCATTGGGCAAACACAATCGACGAGACGCCCATTCTAACAATAACAATAAGCAATCCGATTAAAAATTTAACATACGAATTCTCAAAACAATAGTTCGTACCGTTGACGAATCCGCTCTTTGACGTCACCGACCGTCTCTTCCTCGTGAAAGCGTACAATACACGGAACACCATGCGGATGAATCCATTTGCGTGAGTTCTTTTGGTAATTAAAGTGCACCACGCCTTTATAAATCCACTCGATATGTTCCGTATCACTGATACTTTTATCGTTGATTTGATTGTCAACTAATTCATACAAAGGAATTTGTTCAATCAAAATTTCAGACCTATTGGAATTGGACCTGTCACCGATACCCAAAAAACGCGAGAGTGTTTGGTCTTCTTTCAACACGTGATTAATCATCGTACCATGCTGTACAACTTCACATGCACGCAATAGCGTATTGCGTGGCAAGTCAAAAACGTCTCGAATCAATTGCAACAAGTCGCAAACTCTGTCAGTTGGCAGAACGAGCACTTCAATACGGCGTGGTGTAGCAGTAAAAGATGGAGATGCTGTCTGTTCCGTGGCAAAACACGCGTCATAAGCACTTAAATATACAAAGACCTCTTTTTTCGCTTCAAATTCAGTAATCGGGCGCTCAAGGATTTCATAGTACAAAATGTTCGTTCGATCGATATATTCAGTCAACAGATCTTCTAAGGTCGTTTGTTGATCACCAGCGTAGCGCGAGTGGCGAAGTGGCGATTTTACGTGTGAATTATTAATAGGCGAATGTTGATACAGTCTTACAAAAAGGCGTTGAGACTCAGCAAGCCCAAGATGTGCTGCGACAGCGTCAATCACTTCGTCGTACACATTACTAAGCAGTAAAGGTAGTGTAAATGACTTTTCTTCCATGTGACCGTAGCAATAGAAGACAATATCAATACGATCCAATAGGTATTGAAAGTAAGATGGTACATCTGGATACTTTTCCATGCTTTCATTTCTTGCCATTGCGGCTCGATCGGACTTTTCAATTATAATCGTCTCCACTTCTTCGCCGACTGGACTGACGTACGACAGTTCTGTCGCTTCCGGATCTTCGTCATCGTGTCCTTCTGGCTTAAGTACAATCTCGTTCACAATATCATCGTCTTCTGCATACTGAAAACAAATGATGTCGCCATTTTGAATCTCCGAGCCTGCTAATGTCGCCATGCTATGAATCATAGCCACTGTAGTCGGCTGGACTTCTTCGTACAATACCAAGTCTTTCGTCCTAGGAATTGACAGTGCCTCGTGTAGATAAGTCGCGAGCTCAGCACCAGTCATTTGTGAATCCACAACAATATTTCCCATATATTCGAGTCGTTCTCCAATCTCTTTCGTCACGTCATAAAACTTAACGAATAACAAGATATCGTGACCATTTAGTCGCGGAGCAAAGTCATTTTTGGCACATTCAACAATCGCAACTGCGTCTTCACCATCCGCACCATCTCCAAGCACTGGAGGCATGAACTCGTTCAGAAAATGTCGGTATATATTGGCATTCAATGGTTTGATCGTTGTCGGCGAGGATGGCAATGTTACGGGTGAAAATGTACCTTGACATCGAGGTTTCGACAAATCGTTTAAGATCTGAAGAAACAATTTGACAGGAGCTTTTAGTGACGCATCGTCTTCAATCAGCGACTCGACACAGTAGCTTAAATACTCTGGACCGAGCGCTTGATCGGGTCGCGTTGTGCGATTTTCGCGCGTAATTACTTTCCACAATCGTATTCGTGACATTGGCACACCCGTGGCGCGATACACTTGACGGTACAATTGTCGAATGGGAGCTGTACGTTTGATACGAATGCGTACAGTACTTGAGTTATTAAAGCCCGCAAAATCCGTTGTCGGAGTAATTCGCTTGAGTTTTGCAATACTCGTGTCGGAGGCAATCCGAAAATTCATATACAAATGTTCCGTCTGTTGTTCTTTCTTGCGTCTCGCAGTTGTCTTTTCCTCTTCGCGAAAGCGCATCACAAGCTCTTGTGGTATTGGCAGCGGATCTACTTGCCAACTGAGAACTTTTGATGATTCCGTTGAATTATCAGACCTTGACATAGCTTCTGATGCACAAATTGCTGTGCTTTTCGTGTCTTGAATGGCACTTATGTCATTTTCACCGTCACGCACGTATACGAGCATATAAGCACTTGAAAAATTCCTACCTAATGGAAGGGCAAGATTATTAGAGCAGGACGCGGGTGGAAGAGTATTGCTGTCATGAGATTGATTGTACTCGTCTTCAGTGCCATACATTCCAGCTACTTGCACGGTATCCACGGAATGAAATTCACATCCGTCCAGATTATTTGGGTCAGCAGTCTTGCTAGTATTACAATTTGGTGAATAAAAGTGCGAATTACCGTACAAAGGCGATGGAGGTGCTGTAACGGCATCTTGTGGTGTGAGCAGAGTCCCTCCAGAGCCAAAATTGCCTTCAATTGCCACCTTTTCGTCCACGTGAGTGATCTGATCATCGTCGAACTTAAACCAGTCGGTGCTAGTAGCAATTTGCTTACCAGGTCGGATAAACACGTAATAATGGCCACCATGTACATCACCACTATGAACCAATACGCTATGCAAATGATAACAATACCGAGATGTATCGTTCTTAGTCTTCTCATCCTTCTGCGCAATAAATTCGTCTAGTACCAGCGTCTTTGGATACTCAAAGCGATCATGAACTTTCACCATTCCATCACGCATTGGATCATATTCGAACCGTTTCAATTGAATATTTAGAACTGGGGGTAACGTCAAAAATTCAATTCCTTTTTTCGCATCTTGTTTGCCATGTCCTTCTGCTTCGTATTGATTGTCGCCTTCTAATAATTCTACTTCCACATATTTTCGAAACGATTGCATTAAATCTTTGCATCCTTTCACATCTAGTTGCAAATCGTAAAAACATTCATCGCGGAATGATTGAAACTCGACATTGACACATTGAACAAATGAGCGAACTTTGCCTTCAAAAAGTTTTTGAATGGCTGAATCCATTCGCGTTTGTTTCATTTTCTCCTCTAGACGATCGCACAAGATCCGATACAATTCTTGCACATCATGCTGCATAAATGAATCAATGGTACTCCAGCCAAATGAACGTGTCAATTCTTTCGTAGACACAGCTTTTTCTTTGCTTTGCAGTCGATAAAATACGCGCTGCAATGCCAACGATACTGATTCGTTCGTATCTTCTTGAGCAGTCGGCGTTTCGTACACTACCTGACGAAACGCTCGTAAATGATAAAGCGTTTGTAAAAGTGAATTCAAATAACACGTCGCTCCTTGATTCTTTAACCCAACCATGCCCGTTTTTGCTTTTGTATCGTATGCTAAACCTTCTTTCGTTGTTTCAGCTGCCATTTGTTCTTTCAGCGCTTCAACGTCTTCCACAAAATTCAAGATCACTTCAACTTCCACTTGACCTTGCTCGTCTACATATGCATTGATAGGATTTAATAAAACGCTTCGTTCAATAAACTGACGCATGCCAAACACTGCATTTTCCTCCGAAAATTCGTGTATACTCGTGTGTTTAATCACTGACGGTTGTTTACGTTGATTCATGAGCATAACACTCACTTCTGCTAATCGAGATCGTGTAATCTCTTGAGCTACCAATTCCACAAATACACCGACAAATGGCGAATCGGTTGCGCTTCGAGGCTGCCAAACAACGCGCCAAGTATCACCTCGAGTATCTCTTTTGATGTCTGTTGCAATTTGCTCATTATCAAGTGCTAACGATTGAAATGTTTCGTGAAAAATGAGCTTTGATAGCTCTTTATCCGGTGAGTGGATAGCTTCAGTCGACTTGACGTTTGGATTGATAGACGATTCGTTGTTCTTGTCAATTGCTGAATCACAAAATGTTTCAATGTCCATTGCATCAGAATCATCGTCAGGTTTTGTGATAAGCTTCTTGCGGCGCTGGGTTGCGGGCGGCGAGTCGGCCGCCGGACTCCGACGCTTCTCGACCATAACGATAATTGACTTAGTTGCTCTATTGATCTGTTGACCAAGCAAGTGATTGGATATTAATACAATTTGCGCTTTCGATCAATATTTTTAAATAAATTTGTGCACCACCTTCTTATAATTAGCAGAGACATTTTTAGTACAAAATCAAAGGTGTATTATTTAGAAAGAGGTAATATTCTTCCAAACTTTCGCCGAACACCTCGCAGTCACACGTGCAGTGATTTCGTAGACAAAGGCATTCACCATAAGTCATCCAGCTGACTTTATGAATAAACTTTGAGATAATCGAATAGACAAATAGCTTACTGTAAGGAAATCTGGAAACGCTAAAACCCAGATAGAAAAGTCGATCTCAAAGTTGCCGAGCTAGCGCCGCAAATATATCTATGTTGTATTCTTCAGTGAAGTTCTACATAATAAAAGATTATTTTGCGATTAGAACGAGGCGATTGCAACAGGATTGCCATACACAGTGCACCAAACAAACTTCGACTATCACAGTTCGCGTTTACAAACTCACAAAGATTAAATTTGAGCGCTCCTACGAAGAGTAAATCCGAGAACCTTTTTTTCGTTGCACAGTCTCAAACTGCAGCAGGGCTGCCGTAGCTTAGCGCTTGAGGAAGCGTACTTTAGGTCACCGACCTTTCGATCTTTACAAGAACCAAGTAGAGTTAGCAAATCGCAATCCGCTTACTCCAAGAGTAATTATTGCCTTCCCAAGGCTAATTGACTC